TCAATTAACGTGTCAAGCATATCCTAGGTATGGAATTGCCTTTCATGAGTATTGCTTGCAAGTGCTATTCGAGTGTGTGAGCAAGGACAGGCCAGCCCTTTTACAGGTAAGCTATGACTCTGAAAACTCTTCACTGAAACTCAGAAACGTTTTGGGACATTTGCGTAAGATAATGAAACGATTTGGTATAGTTTCCACTTTCCATAAATAACGAAATGTCTCCAAAAATAAGTTTCCTTCTGAGAGACATATTTCTCTACGTCTAGATTGCAAAAATACTTAAATAGTAATGTCTATCAGCGTAAAGATTCAAGATTTTAATATCTTTTGAGATTATATTTCTTGTTCTATACAAAGTTCTTTTAGAATCAGCATATACACCAATTTCTTCAATCACAAAGTTCATGAATAATTAATATATCAGAAGATTTAAATAAAAGTTTGGAGTTCATAATACATGGCTTTTATATATTTACACATTTCCCCTGCATGTCTTTTTCTATATTTTTTTAAATGATGTTTGTGCGATCTCACATTTCCCCTTTCCCTGTGACATAGTAGGTAACCGTAACTTCTGACTTTTCTCTGATGATATTCAGCTGACTATTGTTATTTTTCTCTCTTATAAATACATGAAATGCACAGGTGTACTTGTCCATATACTCCACAATTGAGTCAATGGCTGAACAAGTTACGGGTGGTTCCAGTAACTTTAGTGATTCAATTTTCCTCTTTAGTCTAAAGGTTTGTCCAGTTCGTATACATATCAATGATCTTGTTTGGTGATTTAAATTGATAATTTCTTACTTTTGTCCCGCCACCCCCTGAAGCTTGCACTGTCCTATGGTGAATCCTTGCTAAGTAAAAAACTAACCAGTTCAAGAAGTGGCATCATGCACACAACTTTTCTGGGTACAATAAAGAAGAGAGTGGAGGAAATTCTCAGTTCTTCATCTAATTTACAAAGCAATCTTGAGGATTATATGAAATCAGGAAGATGGCCATCTGACGGTAGTCAGGCTTCAACTCATCTTTCATGGTATCTACAGTGGTATGGAGTGCCATCAACATATGAACTTAGAAAAGCCAAGGAGAAAATGAAGGCCCTCGGCATGACCTCATCTGTTCCTTTACTGCATTTGTTATTTCCGAGAACAAGTGTTAATGCACTTGCTGAGATCAATAGGTAGCGTCTGTTGTAATGTCTATCTATACTGCTGGTGTTGTAATATCTCAGCAAGTGGGGCCAATTCTTAAGCTGAAACAAATGTAGTGCGTGGTGTTGTAATATCATTTTTCTGGTTGCCTGGTTGGAAGTGTAAATTAAAAGAAAGAACCTGTTAACAAATCAGGGTGATAACTGTTGGAAGGTGGGAAAGTCTGGTAAGATGTGCAACTAATTGTAACTTGTAAGGTAGGTTTGTTAACAAGCAGAGTTAATTCAAAGGCTTGCATTATACTCCCTCCGTCTCGAAATTATCTTCACTCTTTCCTTTTCAGTCCGTCCCAAATTTATCTCTTCTTTCCCTTTTTGGCAAAGGATTTGTGGTTCACAACTAGCGTGGACTCGGGCTGGTTTGGGCCCGGGCCGGTGGTTCAGAAATGGGGGGCCCGGAACCGGACTGGGTACTCCCCGGGTCGGGCCGGGCCTCGGGCCTGAGTTATTATTTTTTTTTTCCTTTTCATAGTTAACCCCAACCCCCCTCACCCCCAAACCACCCCAAATGGCCCAAAATACCCAGCCTAATCCGAAAACAAAAAAAATGAAAAAAAAAAATAAAACGAACCGGAACCGGGCCCAAACCGGTCGGGCCGGTTCGTGATTTAAGGGGCCTGAGCCTGGACCGGAACCCCAGCGGGTTGGGCCTATTCGGACCGGTCACTGACCGGGCCACCGGGCCGGTCCGGAACAGTGCCGGTTCGGGCCGGTTCCAGGTCGGGCCACCCGGCCCGAGTCCACCCCTCTTCACAACCATTCTTACACATTTCTCTCTCCTCTGCATAACTCTCCACCACACATTTCCCCATGACCAATCAAAACCGAAGTTAATTCTGGAACAGAGGGAGTAGTTTATATTAGGGATGGACCCGGGCCGGTCCGGTTCCGGTTCCGGGCCGGGCCCGGGCGGGCTTTTTTTCGGGTTACATGGGCCTGGAACCGGCCCGGGTTGATACCGGGTCCGGGCCTAACCGGGCCGGGCCGGGCCCGGTTCAATGTTTTTTTTGTTTTTTTACTTTCTTGTTATCTCCCTACCCCCCCCCCCCCCCCTCACCCCCACGCCCCAAACCTCCCTAAAACACCCAACCCTACCCTAGTAAAAGAAAAAAAATTGAAAAAACCAAAAAAAAAAAAAATAAAAGTGAACCGGGCCCGGCCCGAACCGCCCGGGCCGGTTCAACAAAAATAGGGCCCGAAACCGGCCCGCCCGACCCGCCAACACGGGCTAAAAGCCCGGAACCGGCCAACCGGTCCCGGTCCGGTTCGGGCCCGCACAGTAGCGGGCCGGTCCGGTTCCGGGCCGGTTTGGCCCGGCCCAATCCATCCCTAGTTTATATAGTAATACTCCATATCCTCTCATCGTAATCTCTATTTTTTACTAAAATGAATTTAAGGTTTTGGACTGGATCTAACTCAAAATGGTTTATATTGGTTTCTGTTCTTTATAAAAGTTGAATAGAAAATAAAACAGGCAAATGGTGTAATTGTACAGATGTACAATGAACAGAAAGTTAGGACAGTGATACGGACACATCAAACGCAGAAGAGATACATTATACATATAGTGAAGATTAATCTCAGAATGAAAAGGAACGATAGAAGTAATGTAGCCCTGCAAATGGTCACAGCTAACTTACTCATATTGAAATGGTGGAAAACTGAGAACAAAATTGCCGCAATGCCACTGTTGAGAAGGTAAAGAGGAAACTGTAGGATAATTTATTTTACCAAAAAAAGATGGTCAACATACGGAATTACGGACAAAGTAACCGCTTATGCATAGTGGTAGTGGTATAATGGTATTTAATCAAATTAGAAATATGAAATACCAAATATTTTCTTATGAGGGGGTTGGGGTGTTTAAAATACACTGCACGGAGGTCCCTCCATTATGCTTAGGGATGGACCGGTTCCGAGCCAACCGGCCGGTGGCCCGGCCTGGCCCGGCCTGGCCCGGTACCAGGTCATAGGACCGGTCCGGGTGGCCCGAACTGGTGGTTACATGAGGCGGGCTCGTGCCTGCTAAAATAGGAACCGGGTGTTTTGTTTTGTTTTTCCCGGGTTGGGCTGGGTGTTTTAGGGGGTTTGGGGGTGGGGGTGAAGAGGAGGGGGTCGGGGGTTAATTAGAAAAGCAAAAGAAAAAAAAAACATTGAACCGGCCCGGAATCACTGGCTACCCGGGCCGGTTCCGGGCCTCACTTCCCCACAAAAAAGCATGGGGGTCAGGCTCGGCCCGGAACCAGTCCACCCCTAATTATGCTGGGAGGCGCTTAAGGCAAGGGGTTGAGGCAATAACTTGACCAGGTTGGGAGGAGCTTTAGACAGGAGTTTGTCCAGAATCAAAGCGGAAACTTTTTGTTGTCCTATGGACCCCAATTTTGGGCGAGAAACATAATAATTTTGTCCTTGAATGTTTTGCCTTGTTCCTTAAACTTTGTCTATTGCCACTTTGCCCTAAATGTTGATGACTAGTGTAATTTGTCACCTTTTCTTATGAGAGAAGTGTTAAAATGGTACACGAACTTATCTCAAGTAGCATAAAGAGTACATTACATTACATTTGACACATCAAAGTACATCATCTTGGTTTTTAATGTCTATTGAGTATGTTCACAGTTAAAAAACAACGAACTGACAACAATTATAGGTTACGTATCTAAAAAATTTAAGTACAATAAGTAGACAATTTTATCATACACTGACATGGTATAAAAAAGTGTGGTAATAAAAAATGAGATACTTGAATTAATTAAACAAATACCCTTCAATTTTATGCTCATACCGTTCTCAAATCACATTTTTCGGATAACTTAATCGATCTCCGGACCTCCAAATTAGTTCTCCATCATTCGGAACTAAGAAATAAAAGTCTATAAACCAAAGCTTAAAAATCACAGCAATCTAATAGTTCAAACTCTAATAAAGGACGATTTTGTAAAGCTCAACAGCTTAGGAAGAAGAGAACATGCAGAAATCAAGGATGACGATGGGGAATAACACAAGTTTTACTGACACCCTTCACTTGTTTAATTAATGCAAACAGATGATAAAAATAATAATTATAGTCGACCGATCTCATTTTATAAACGTTGGTATGACAGATATATCCAATCAACTTTAAAGTTACAAGTTGATATACGTTGTAGTATCGATGAAGTACTGCTTACTCCTCATGAGACAGTTTGATGTACCTTCCTTTTACTCAAACTCATATACGGAGTACATAGTAATAATTATTAAATGGTTCTTTTTCAAAAATAATACTAAAATAAAATTTATACACAAATATGACTAATAGTTATTATAATGCAGTGTCATGGTTACTATGATTTTATTACTAGTACTATTCTATTCATTAGTCTTGTAGGCAATTTTTATTTTAGTTATTTTAGTTAATATTTAACACGTTTTAGTATTACAAAGTACTTTTTAAAAAGGAATAAGATGGAAAATGAAAATCAAAGGACAACTTACCACATATTGCTTTCTAGGGAGAGCAATGGCGTTTGGTACAGACACAAACATAAGTATATATTTCATTTGGTCTTGAAATTAATTTTTAATACGAGTATCAAATTTCTGTATACTCTATCACATATTCACATCCATTCTTTTCTCTGTAAATAGTATGTTCTTAAAAAATTTGTGAATGAAATTATAATGATTATTATACGTTTCTTTTATAAAGAAAACATTCATCTAAATTATTTTGGTACACTTTTTTGTTTAAAAATAAATAAATTTGAAATAACAATAGCTACTCTCATACTCCGTATTTCAGATTTGTACCTGCTCTTACACATGAGAGAAAAGAACCTGGAAACAGTTGAACACAGTTGGATCGTGCCACGAGACGCATCTCTCTGAACAAGTGATCAAAATCTGTGAAAGGACCTGGGGAGCTCTTCGTCTTCTGTGACAGCAACATGCTCGCTAAATTATTCCATAAGTTCTCTTCTCCACAGGTAAATTTCTCAAAATCTGTCTGCATTATGTTTTTGTTTTTGGTAAATTTTGTTATAGTTTTGATGAATTATTACCACGTTCTTAATGATATGAAGTTTTTAAGTTTCAGTAGTCTAAACGGATTATAAGCAAATCAGAACAGTGAAAGGTAGAAAATTGAGAAATTATGCAGCAACTCACTAACTCAGTCTGTTCTTTTCATTTCTTTTCTTTGTTTTTGGTCTTGCTGGTCTGGGATGGGGGGAGTGTTCCTTCTCCCCTCCATATCTACAAAATCTTCTGCCCCGCCCTGGCATCATATCCCCACTAATCATGCCCCTCCGGCCTCCAGCCGTACTGGCAGGCCTGGTCCTCACATTGTACAGATGGATAAAGACTGTTCCCTAGAGATACTAATGTATAACAACATTTTTTATCAAAAACAAAATTTGATACTTAAAGTTTTGTTAGGCAAATACAGAAACGGGAGTATGTTTGGCGCAACTAGTTGAAAGGATACTTTTGTGAGCTTTTTAATAACTGTTAGCTTTTCGTGACTGAAAAAAAAGATTTAGCTTTTCGTGACTATTTGATTTAGTTCGGTTTGGTATACAAGCTGTTATGGCTAACTAATACTAAAAGTCACGGGCTTTGTTCATATGCTACTCCTTGTAGCATCTAAAAAAAGATCTTTTAATTTTTGAAAATCTCTTAAAAATTGTCATGCCCAACATATAACTAGAAGCTTTTAAAGACTTATTGAACAATACAAAAGCTAGAAGACAGAGACCTATGCCCGCCAAACATAGCCTAAAGAAACTAATAAAAAAATAAACCGTTAAACATTACTATTTGAGTACTTGATGAATACGACCGGATATGCTACATGCCTACTCACATGGAACTAAGTAATCCAAATACTACTTGCAATTAGGAATTTAGAATCAGGAAAAGCTGAACAGGATCTATCATATATGCAGTAATTTCTTTTCAGACTCCAATTAGCTTTCAGTAGACCAAAAAACTGCTGACTTCTAAATTCTAAATATAGCAGTGTAACTAAATATCACATGGGATAACAAAAGAAGATTAGTGTAATACCATTGATGAAACCCGGGTGTACATTAGAGAAGTAGAACAAAAAAATAAAATTTGTACATGAGAGGCCTTTGATGAATTGAATGAAGCGGTGAAGTGTGGAGGTGGGCTCCTGAGTCCTGAGGCGAAGTGCCAAATCAGTTATTGAAGCCCTCTGGTGTGGCCATGTGAAAGTCTCCAAAATTTAAGCTTTTCATGTGTAGATATCGAAGAACAGAAGTATCTTGAATATTACAAGCTTGGCTCTGTTATTTATGTTTTTTTAAATATATAAAAGACTGAGGAATATTGGGCTCTAGGCACATGCCCCATTGTCCCTGCCCCAGAACTGGCCTTGCCTACAGGTGCCATGAGGAAGAACCAGTAGCAACTAAAAATTTGTAAAATAAGTATTACAATCACCAAATCAAATTATTTATAAACTCCACATGTTGTACCAAGTTAGTGAAAACAGAAGTACGGGTGAATATCTTATTACTGCTAGTATTAATATCATCATCATCACATAGTCCTGTTATATGGGGAGTATTATTAGTATATAGTACAATATAATTAACTCTACATATACGTAGAGGACAGGGTGGGGGATGGAGGAGGAATTACCCCCGTCACTCACTCCATGCATAAGCAGGGGATATCTCAACCATCCCCACTTCCTTTGTCATAGCTAGTTTTTCAGAGCTTGTGGTTCTCAACATTAATTGTACTGTATCCTTTGGGTGATGGTTCTTCAATTTGTTCATAATTTGTGTTCAGAACTTCCTTACAAATGTTTTAGTTTCTACTTAAGCCATTTCCTATGTCTAATCTGATTCTGCAGCAGAGTGAGCCGCGGGAAACTCCTAAGCTACCAGCACGAATAGCTATTCACTATGGAATTCCAGCCACCGCATCTATCATGGCTTTTGACCCTATTCAACAGCTCTTAGCTATTGGGACATCGTGAGTATGGAGCTTAATTCAACGCAATATTATTGTGTATAAAGGCACATAGATATACATCATCAGTAAGGAGATTGCTAACACATGGATGAGCAAGAAGGTTTTCTTTCTCCAGTAGTGTGGTTAATTCATTTGATAGCATTTTCTGCTAATAATTTATTTCGTCAAATGAGCATGCTACACTATGTTGTGATATAAATGCTCTGTATATATTTTACATTACGAGCTAATGGTCAGTGTTGTAGCCAGGACCAAGAATTTTGAATTTGGGAGTCACTGCAAAAGTAGTCTATTTATGTACATTTTCACTGACAACTTTAGAGTTTAGACATATAAGGTTTTTACTGAACTTGAATGGACCCATGTTCGGGTTGGCCTCTTATCTACACCCATGGCGGCGGCGATGCCCTTACAAGAGAGCCTAAGACATCATATTGCACATATGTAGCATCATTTTCTTTTAATTATGAGGAGGAAGTGGGGCATCTAGACTAACCTCCTGTCCTCCTCTCATTTGCTTGGCCCATTATTTTCTTTCTTCTGTTTTAAAGATAATGTATAAATACTCACTCCTTTATTTATTAGATATCCTATAAGGTTTCAGGGAGGTTTAGAGGGAAACAGTAGGAGCAGCGAATAATAGGAGAGTTAGGATGAAGAAGTAAGAAAGAAAGATGAACTTAACAAGTACAGATAGCGAAATTTGGAGTACTTGGTATTTGGTAAATTAGAAAAGTAGGTCAAATTATAAAAAGATTCCTAAAAAGGAATGCAGAACAACATATTAATAATGGAGGGAGTACTATTTTGAAAGTGATACTTTGTATTAAAGTTGCATGCGTGCGTTTATAAAGATAATTGCAAAATGGGTGAATGTTAGGGGTGCATATAGCCTCATGCCAGATTCTGAGAGCATGTACTTACATGCATAATGATAACTACAAGTGCTCTATACCTAACATTAGAAAAAGATGGCTCTCTAGTTCTAATTTAGAGAACACACTTGGGCTGATTTATTCTAATAACTTTGATTGCAGAGATGGTAGGATTAAAGTTGTTGGAGGGAACAATATTGAAGGCCTTCTTGTATCTCCTAAGACACAGTCTTTCAAGAATTTAGAGGTTGATGAGTTAAATTGATAGAGTAGCTGTATTTTATGGCCTCTGCTAGAATTTGCATTTGGTGTTGACATTCGTTTTGGGTGAGAAAACAACATGCTTGCATAAGAGACTCAAAGCTATAGTTTCTTGTTCCTTAGTACATAGTAATTTGGTTTTTATGAACAGATCCACTGTTCAATAGTTGGTAGCTAATTAGGAAACATAAGACATTATTCTGTAATCGGTCAGTAAGAGACCAAGTTATTTTTCAAGACTAGAATTTATAGATCTCTTTGTACTTACAGTGCCTACTGCCTACTGCCTAACATCCTTTAATATTTTCCGACTCTTACATTTCATCTGTATTTTTTTTTCTTTTTCAGTTTTTAGAAAACCAAGGCTTCATAGTTAGCATCTCGAATGAAAACGAAATTCAGGTACTATCCAGTGTCCACTCTTATCTATGGAATTTGACCACTTGAGTACTATTCTAATCAACTGGGCATTCTTTGCATCTACACTGTATATTGCTTGTGTTCAGCTCCTTATCTCCCATCCTAACAGTGGCTGTAGACAGTAGTTCTGCTCTTACTGATAAATTGCCAAGTCTTACTGATAAATTGCCAACTTCATTCAAATTTTACAGGTCTGGGATCTGGAGAACAAACACTTGTCTTCTACATTAAAGTGGGAGTCAAACATAACCGCATTCTCTGTTATATATGGCACTCATTACATGTAAATGGCTGTAAAAGTTATCTTATTTATTATGATTCCATCGAAATGGGGCTCATTCACTGATTTCCTAACCATGTTTTTTATTTCACTTGCAGGTTTGTAGGGGATGAATATGGTTATATGTCTGTACTGAAATATGATGCTGAGAAAAGACATGTTGTACAATTGCCATATTATGTTCCTCCAAATCTTGCAGCCGGTAATGGCTGCTTCATTACTCATCTATAGTATGTTCTTGAACAGACCTGTTCATTCTTGGAACTTCATAGAACTGTTGGACCAAGTGTTTGTTCTAGTAACTTCTGTGAATCTTCAATTTGTTTTGTTCTGAAGCTTCTGCCTTTATTTCTCTTGGTGCTAGGAACACACCTTCACAATGACCTACTTAATTCAACTCTTACATTTGGATTAGCTCATGCTTTTATTGTATTTTATTTGCAAAAGCAGATGTGGATTTAATGCCCAGCCAACTATCAATTGTTGGGTTGCTTCTCCACCCATGTTCATTTGGAAATAGGTGAAAGTAAAATCTTTCCTTTTCACGAGTTTCTGGTTTGTTCATACATCAAGTGCAAATTTCAGCTAGTCTCTTACCCACCTACACATTGATTGCTCATACATCAAGTACAAATTTGGCAAACTAGCCTCTGCACGACTACACATTGATGTACAGTAGTACATGTAATTAATTTTGACTGTTCTATACCACAATAACATCTTAACTTTTCCTTATGCTCTATTTTTTACAGAGTTCTGATTGCTTATGAAAATGGATTACTTATCCTCTGGGACATTACAGAAGATAAAGCTGTTCTTGTTAGAGGTCAACATCAGCAACCAAAGGAAATTTTTGTTCACACTCAAATAAGTTTGAACGAAGTACATGCAAACGTTTCCAATGACCATGACCAAGCAGAGAAAGAAATAAGTTCCATTTGTTGGTTGTCCTCTGATGGATCAATTGTTGCCATAGGCTACGTAGATGGAGACATTTTCCTATGGAACTTATCTGTGCCAGACTATTGTGATGGTCACAAGGCTGAAAATCAGTCTGATAGTGTTGTTAACTTGCAACTATCAACTGGAGATAGAAGGCTTCCTGTAATTCTTTTGCGTTGCTCTGCTAACAAATCGCACACCAGTTCTGAATGCAACCTTTATGTCTATGGTGGTGGTGAAATTGGATCTGAAGAAGTTTTGACGGTGCATATTTCTAATTTAGTGTCCTGATCTTATATTGCCTTAACATGTTAACTTATGTTTAAAAATATAGCTATATCCTTCATTGCCTTTGTCTTCTTTATGAAAAATGTGTTGTGTCATGCATCAAACTATGTCGTATGCTCGTACCATCTAAATAGGTACAGTCTTTCAAAACACTAGTGTTGTGGTGTGATATCTGGTTAGAAAATAAAAAGAATTAAAGTCATATTTGTTTTATCTGTTAAGTAATGAGGTCTGGAGCATTTGTTTCAGAACTTGTTATCTGTTATTTACTTATTTTACGCTTCCTCCTTTTTAACGGACTATGGTTGCAATTCAACTAGAACAGTATTATGATTGCATTCAAAGGAATGATGTCTGGGATATCTCTATTATTAAAATGTACTTGTTTGACAATTGACAGATCCTTAAACTTGATTGGTCATCTGGGCTCACAGAATTGAAATGCACTGATAGAGTAGACCTTAAACTTCATGGATCATTTGGAGATATTATTACAGTACCAATTGTTTGCGATGTGGAAAGAAGTGATCTTAATTCCTTTTTCGTACTGACAAACCCTGGACAGTTGCATTTTTATGAGAACACCTGCTTGTCTACCTTGAAATCTGAGCAAGAGAACAATCATTATGCTGACAGCATTCCTTATCCAGTAGAAATACCCACTCTCAAACCATACATGACTGTGGCAAAGTCATGTTTTCTGGATAGGAAATATAACTTCCCAGGCAGTTTCTCAAAGGTGCTAATGCCTTAAATTTGAATTATTATCATTACTTGTAAAAGTGCTTTATTTGGGAAATCAAACAACAAAGTATTATCATGTCATTTTTCACTTTCTTTAGGGGGGTGGACAATGGGTTTGTTAAATGAGTTATTATCATAACCTTCATTGTGTTGCAGACTAAGATTGGAAAGGAATCAAAGTGGCCTCTAACTGGTGGCCATGCTCAATTGTCTTTAACTGAAGATAATGGTGTTGAGAGAGTATACATAGCAGGACATAACGATGGATGTGTCCGAATATGGGATGCCACGTACCCAGTTTTGTCACTTATGTTTGTTATCTCATCTGAGGTCTGTACAATGTTACAAATTAGGAGCCCCAAAACCTGTAAAGTATTGATCAAGAGTTCAGCGTTTGTTCAACAGGTGAAGGGCATGGAGAGCATTAGTACTAGTGCAGCAGTAACAGCTCTAGACTTTTCCACTAATTCATTGAGTGTTGCTATTGGAAATGAATCTGGCCAAGTAAGACTAAGCAGCATTCGAGACGGTCACATTTTTCTACCTTATCAATATATATTGTCCGAAGGGCTGTTTGATCCTTTTGTTTTTTAACATATAGGTTCACTATTACATGCTTGGCACCGGCTCTGGCTCTGAGAAAACAATATTGCACTTGATCACTGAAACCAAAACTGAAGGTGTTTATAAAGGTTTTCCGATCTTGTTATTATATTTTGAGAATTTTGGCTGCTGATGCTTGATGAATTTTATAAACTGAGCTATAGACATTCAGGACCTTTATCCTATCCTTTATGAAAAAAAATAATAATAATACTATGTAATAATAATAATAATAATTATTACTATGCTTTGACCTTTAAGGTCCGTTTGGACTTGGAACGTGCTTGCTAAAGAAAATAAGAAAGTCATGGGGAAATTTGTAAGGAAAGGAAGTTCGAAGGAAATTAAAACTTGCTAGTTGTTCCAAATTTGTTATGGAAATTTGAGTTACTTTTTTTAGCTTATTTTATTGATGTATTTCTGAAATAAGAAAAGTTGCAAAGCCTAAACGCATGTCACATTTTTACAAGCTCTAGTCAAATTTGTTTTTCTTTCGTATCTTCTAAGGTAAAAAAAGACATTTAAAAATAAATTTTCATTGTCATTTCCCTTCTTCCCTTCCAGTTTCTGGGTCACATACACATCCATGGTGAATCTGTAGGCAAAAGTGCATAACATAGATTCAGCATTAAGATTTTTGGATCCAATTCTTTGGCTAGAAAAATCGATTGATAAGGCTTTAGAAGGTCATCCAATAGGAGCTTTGCTGGGTATCAATAAAGTATTGTTGTCTTACAAATATATGTGAATATACACAATGAAGATAAAGAACGGGAGCTTTGGCACACCGATTAAGGTGTTGTGTGATCGAGAGGTCACATGTTCAAGTTTTGGGTATGGCATCTTGTCAAAAATTTGACAAGGGAAGGCTTACCTCCTATATTTCCTCATTTGATCCTTCCCCGAACCCTCGCCTTGTGGGGACGCCAATGCACATCATGCTTTTCTTTTTATACACAACGATGTTATACGTGTAGTACCATATCAGAGATGTACTTTTGGGATATTTATATACTTTATTCACTCAGCATGTTTTATTTTCAGTTCCCCTTTCCCCAAGTGGTGCTGGGTATCAATGCACCGCTATCTTTTCGCTTGTCAGTTCCCCAGTATGCATCCTGCAGTACATTGCATCAGGATCCAAACTGGTTGTGGGGTTTGAAAGCAGCCAGGCAAGACCTGTTTATACAGTGTTGAAGGTTTTAGCATGAAATAAAATACTCATTCGATTCATTTTTCTCCTTTCACAGGTTGCTCTGCTTGATGTTGGTTCACCATCAGTTTTGTTTCTTTTGGACAGTCTTTCTAGCTCAAGATCTCCGGTCAGCTCTCTTTCTGTTAAGGCACCTTTGGGTATTCATCAAAGCACTGTGAACCCGGAAGGTGGAACATCATATGAAAGTGGGAAAGAACTTGCTTTGTTCTTGACCAGAGATGGACACATTATTTTAATGGATATCAGCACCGGCAATGTAATCAATACTCAGCCAGTGCATCTTGAGAAAGTGACAACATCAGTCTCTTTACATATTATAGGTAAGTATTGACTTCAAATATTTTGATCAAGTACAGCTGTGAATCTATTATTTATGATACTTCTGTCCCCAAAACAGAGTCCTGTTTGAGTGAAGTACTTTTTTTATCAACTCAATCAAGGTATAAGCTTTTACAAGTTAAGACCGGTCTCTAATACCCTTATACCCCTAAAACTTTATTCCGAGATTGTTTAGACTTTGAGTCATTGACTAAACCTCTGCCCTTGGCTTTACCGGATTTTTACTTTAAAATTAAGTTGGCTTTTGAAACTGAACTTCAAAGATCTTGACGCATGACTTTGTTTTTGGGATGGAGTGCATGTTTGTTGCACAATACTTCATTATTTCCTTCTATTAACAGAGAGCAGCACTACATCTTTTGATGAAGGGTCTGACAAACACCCTTTGTTCAAGGATATTGAAAGTAAAGATCAGTCAGCACAATCTGGTCACGATGAACAAAACAATTACACAGATCCCAACAATCATGTGAAGCCTTCTCAATTACAGAATATTACTGATTCTCAGATTTTGGTTTGTTGCGAGGATATTATTTATTTGCTCTCTTTAAAGTGTGTTCTCCAGGTGACTTCCTGTGTTAAACCCGCAATATTAGTAAGCCTTGTACTTCCTTTAGTTGTGATAAGTGGTGTACTTGCAGGGTAATAACATTACTCTCCATGAAGTGAATCTTGATAAACCTTGTTGTTGGACTGCTTTGTTCAAGAGTGATGATGGAGAATCTGGGTTGATCATTGTATACCGAACAGGAGATATTGAAATTCGGTAACTCCTATCAGTTTCTTGTTGTTAATGCACCTGAACTAATGTTACTAAACACACTGTTATAATTTTATTTTACTTGCAATGCTTTATGGTTCATCTTGTTGTCTTTACGTATTAATGTATTGGTCCACGATTTCATCTCTGGCAGATCTTTGCCGGATTTTAAGTTGCTGGGAGACACATCACTAATGTCAGTACTTAGATGGAATTTCGGAACAAATATGGATAAGACGATGAGTTCTCCCGGCAAAGGGATTATTTCACTGGTTTGTAGTTTTCTATTTTCGTTTCAGATATCTTCTCACTACTAAGTTTATGTAGTTTTTTTATCCTCTTAAGTTAAAAAACCTGCCATATACCTTTTGCTAAGCTGCATCCTGGGTACTCGTCTTGCAGGTCAATGAGTGTGAATTTGCCATTTTATCACTGTACTCTGAAAATGATTTCTGGTCTCTCTCTCTCTCTCTCTCTCTCTCTCGAACACACACATACCCTCACTCACACACAATCATTGATCTTTTCTGTACTTTCTTTTGTAGGATTCCGGAGCTATTGCCTTGTTTTCATGATAAAGTCCTTGCAGCTAAAATGAATGCACCTTTATGTCTAACCCAAAATGAAGAGAATAAAAAGGTTGCGGGTTACATAAGCCCATCATTCTCTCTTTTTTTTTTCTTTTTCTGAGAGACTATAACCTGTTTTGCTTTTTTTTGTCAGTCTACTGTCAACAGCATGCTTGCTGGTATCTTAAAGGGTTTGAAAGGGGGAAAAGGAGAGCAGGTTATTGACTACTCTACTGAACCTCGGGAAAAATATATTGCACATCTAGAGAGCATATATTCTAGGTTCCCTTTCTCTGACCCTCTTACAGATGTCATGGAAGACGAAGGAGAGTTAGCACTAAACATAGGTATTTGATTCCATCTTTTAATCCCCACACACCTTTCTAGAAGAATATAAATTATTGTGTGCATCTTAAATCTTATGATGAAATAACTAAATAGAGTTGTTCCACTTTCCTTTTTAGTCAAGAATGATTTGTGGAAGGACATAAGTGTCCCTGCTTTCCATGTTTTCTACCCACTTTCAAATGTTATGATTTAATTAACGCAACACGAATAACAGTAAGAAAGAACACACGAAATTTGGTAACCCAGTTCGCCGCAAAGGACTATGTCTGGGTGCGCTACCAAGCCAGAAATTGCTATTAATTTTGGATCAACTGATTACAAGGGAGAGAACTTGTATTTATAGAGAGTAAAACCTAACCCCAAAGCAACTAGGACGCGCTGCCCATAACTGTACGGCCCAAAAACTGTATGGCCCAAAAACTGTACGGAAACTCGCGGTTCAGAAACGGACCCAAAAAATTTCGGTTATACAGTCTCTAACACCTTACATCAATTACCCATATCAACTTACTCTAAAAGGGGAAAACCCCTCTGGAACAACTAATTGAAGGCGGACGAAGCATCTATTGCTATTCCTTCTTATGAAGCATTATAAGAGGGGCATCAGGCATAAAACATTGTCAATATGCTTTTTTGATCATGTTCCATTATTTGAATGTTGGTCTTGCGATATAAATTACTGAATGGACATGACAAAAGCATATATCCCTCAACCTGTCATTGTCTTACGAGATTTTTCATGCATGGGGAAACTTATGATGATGACGGTTTTCAATATTATCTCATTATTTACTTTCATGAAGTTTCAACATGAAGGGTATTTCATCAGTTCAGCTCAAAGCTTCACTACTATGTTTTTTGCATTAATTAATAGTGTTATTAGTATTAAAATTTGATTGGCTCTGTAAGTATTAATGCCACTGGCCCCAAGTAGTTGGGGGTCAAGGTGTTGATAATGATGATTGATGAAGTAGCTTTATACAATTATTTATCATTATAAAACTGTAAAATTAATGCCACACAACTAGTTGAGATTTAGGTGCAGATAATGATTATGATGATCTTAAGATATCATTGACCACACCAAGCATTTCTAACTCTTTAAATTCTTGTGATGCAGATAATATTGAGATTGATGAACCCATTCTCACAACATCATCATCTCATCATAACAATAAATCCAAACAAGGTAGCCTGGGCATATTTTTGTAGCATACATAAATGGGAGTATTATTTTAGTCATTCATTCTATTTAAATCTCTAATTCACACCTACATTCTTCTTCCGGTGTACACCTTTTATAAAAAAAATACTTCTGCCGATTCAGAAAATGAAGAGAGAGATAAGCTATGTGAAGGTGGGTCAATTGATACTAAACCAAGACTCAGAACACGTGAAGAGATCATCGCCAAGTATAGAAACAAAGGGGTAGTGTATTTTTATTTTAAACTTTTGTTATAACCATTCAACTTTTATCTTTTGTTAAAATTACATATTCTCACGATCCTGTTACTTGTAGGGTGCCACCTCTGCTGCAGCAGAAGCAAGAAACAAGCTTGTTGAGCGAGGGGAAAAACTTGAGGTAGGTCCAACGTCTTTGTCGTATGTGTGTGCCTGATGAGCATTTAATCATAATTCATTTTTGTGTGTGTGTCTGAGCTTATTATATTTTAACTGTTTTTCAAGATTGTATTAAGAAATGTGCTACTCATATGAACACATGGGAAACGTGATGTTCTCATTTTCTGGCTGTGATGCATGCCATAAATAATACAGCCAAGTTTCATCCTCCTGTTTTCAGCAGTATTATCCGTTTATTGACTGGTATTTTGGACATCAAATCTTGGCATCAATTTGATGACTCAGTTTTTGTCTTATTTGGCGGATTTTCTTCCGAACAGTAACTGTAAACTATTTGTGTAATGCAGAGGGACCTCATAGTATAAGACATTCTTGGTATGTCTATTATTACCCCGTCACCCGCATAATGAGACATACAGGATAATGGGATATATGTTACTACCTCCACCCCCCCTAACATTGGGACTATGTGGTGCGAATATTAAGAAAAGTGAAATTGTGTGGTTGATATTAAATTAATAAAGTGAGAATAAAGTAAGAATGAATTGTAACCACCCAAATATTACCAGATATGGTATGAGACAAACTTAGTGGGATTGATGAAAAAGGTAAAATGAGACAAAGATAAGGGGGCAGAGGAAGTATTTTTTAGGCATGAGGTGCACAAAGTGTTTCATTTGATGTGTTTAAAAATTACTCACTTCGTCCCATAATAAATGTTCCACTTCTTTTTGGGACAAGAATTAATTAAATGAAACTGTGTTTGAAATTTATATAGAAAAGGAAAAACCACTATCAATTTTTATCTGTAATAGGAAATGAGAAGTTTTTTTGGGACAACCCAGAAAAGAACTGTGAAGTTTTGTTTGGGACAATGATAGAGGCCCAACAGTTTATGTATACTAAGTAGGTAAAACAGAGAAAACCTCTGAATTCCTGAATCCTGAAGCAAATTCAATGGCAGAAACTGTAGCCTAGCGTACCAGAGAGAGAAGAAACAGAAACAGAAAATACAAGTGAGACACTTTGAGTAGTCTCGCACTCCCAGTTCCCAGTCCGATCCCAAAAGTCTGCCTCCCTTTTCCCCTTACCAGCTCATTATTATAATACTATCTTAAAGGGCCAGCCCTCAGCCCTAAACTATTGGACCTAGAACCCTTTTATTTTACAATATTAATAGACTTAGTATTTTTCTTATTTGAGAAGTGTCCGGGTCCCTATCAGACAAGGGAGTACAGTTTTAATACAATTTTAGATAATGCATCACATTCAAAAAATTCATCAATTTTAGCCCCAGGTTATGCCATTTTCAGTTAATTTTTATTCCACCAAAAGGGCCTAATATTTCACATTTGATATGGATCCGATAAATGTTACGGAGTACTTTATAATGATGCATGTGATCTGTTTCATCAAACAAACCATGCTGAAAATTGCACTTCTAGTTTTATGTGAGCATGAAGGGGAGCTTTGGTGTGCTGGTGTTGCTGTTTGACCGAGAGGTCATGGGTTAATATTTCGGGAGCGTCCTCTAGGGAAAACTTTGCTTCAATGGCACAACCTTGCGGTGGGATCCTTCCCGGACCCTCACCTCGCAGGGACGCCAATGTGCACCGGACTGCCTTTTAATAGTTTTATGTGAGCATTTTGGTTTAAATATTTATATAATATAATGATTGGTTTGTGGTAATTTGAAAAAGAGAGTACTAAATTGTGCATTTCCCGCTGGACATTGTTAGCCGAGTTTTTATTTGTTTCTTTGTGACTGCAGCAACTAAGTGAGCGAACTGCAGAACTTCAAAGTGGGGCTGAAAACTTTGCTTCAATGGCACAAGAGCTGGCCAAGTCAATGGAGAAGCGCAAATGGTGGAAACTCTAAGCTTTCCAAATTCATGTAGTACAGGCCACAGCTTAAACAAATCTGTTGCAAATCAGCAAGTCTTCCAAGTTCCAACGTAATAACATATGCTGCTTTGTTTTGATTAACTCGTCCTACTGAGCTTCATACAGAGATTATGCTCTTGAGCAGTAAGAGAACGTTTGTTTGGTAGCAAAACAATGTCTTCACCTGCTCATAATGCTAATCATCAGACTCTAAAAAAAATGCTAATTATCAGAGTAAACATAATAACTAATACTCAAAACACTTTTCATTTACTCTCTCCGTTCCATTTTACCTTTCTTACTTTCCTTTTTGGGTTGTCCCAAAATAAGTGTCATCTTTTCCTTTTTGGAATGAAGTATGTGGTTCACAACATTTCACTTTATTATATTCAAATTTCAATCACAAATTTACGTTTTCAACCATTTTATTAAAAATTGTGCCAAAATCAAATGAGACACATAAAATTGGATGAAGGTAGTATGAAACTTCAGCAAATTCAATGTCAGCCTCATGACACATAGGCTTTTAATTGTTGTATATTATGGAGTTTATAGACATTATTTCTTGTAACTATATTAGGTAATTACCTTTACCTAATGTATTCGAGCCTTTGTGCATTTGTGTTTAACTCCAACGTAGTAATCTGTTTGTACTTTTCTATGGGTGTGTTTGCGATTGCTTGTGCTTTTTAAAAGTGATTTTTTAAAGAGATTATTGGGAAAGTGATTTGTAGTAAAAGTTGGTAGTGTTTGGAAATAGAAGTGCTTTTAATTAAAATGTAGAAGTTGGAGTGTTTGATAAAAAAATGATTTTTAATGTAATATTTTATTAAAGTACCAAAATATCCTCAACAAAATTATACAGCCTGTTTATGTGTGCCCCTTGGTCCCCTGGCCGAACTTTTTTTAATATATGTAAAATATATGTAGCTTCATACGCTATGAAGCTTCAAGATCGGAGATGGCTCCTCAATTTTCACCACTTCAATTTACTACCATGTATCATCGGGTCACAGGGATTTCATTTACCATGTATAGTTCTTCAATTTTCATGGACAACAAGGAAGATCTTCATTTTTTAAAAGAGTATGCTTATTATAATTAATTAGCATACGGATGAAAAGGGAATTCTACATAGAACAAGAGTAAAAGGAATCTCGGCACAACAGAGAGGTAACAACGGCGGCGAAGCAGACTGGAAGCGGCAAAGCAGATCGACGGCGACGAAACAGACCGGTGGCGAAGCAGATCTGCTGCGGGAGTGGTGATGGAGAATTTCTATTTGACGGACGAAGCAGACCAGCTATGGTGGCGGTGAGGAAGAGTGGTGGGCCGGTGGTGGCGAAGCACATCGCCGGCGGTAATTTTTGGATGATAAAAGGTGGGTCTCGGCCATGCCCCGTAGGATGCTTGTTGGGATATGGAAGATGATCTGTGTCACACACTCTGTACGATGCTTGTTGGATAAGGGTACTTTTGGATTAATTTAAATATTTTAAAATAAAAAAATCCCAAAAGTTGAACTTATTTACGGAAATACCAAGAAGCAAAAAAAAGCATCCCCAGACTTGCTTTTGGCTTTTGGCTTAAAAGTGATTAAATTAAGCTGAAATTTTCTTTTGCAAACACTATATTTAGCTTTTACCTTCCAAAAAAGCTGAAAGTGCTTTTATTAAGCAATAGCAAACACACCTTATGTCAAACATGACGCGTTTGATCCGTGATTCCGTACATATCTCCTTTTGAAAGAGGTGAATGATCAGACTGATGCTAAGAAAGTCAATGGAGAACATGTAAAAGACATTAATGTGTATGTGTATGGGCATGGCTGGCAGTTGGCCCAAGAAATTTCAAAGTGGCTTCGTGTATACGCCCGAATGTGTATTGGGTACACGCTCAACAAAAAATTATACTCCGTTGATGCTCCTATTATTGTCTCAGCGCCTATTCATTTGATTACTCTTAATCTCTTAGTTTATATATCAAAGTTTTATCAAATTTGATTCTATTTTTTGCAACTTCGTAAAGTTTTTAATGTAGTTTTTGAGTATGTAATTTTTTTTCTAAAAATAATTTGAGTGCGCACATGGATGCATTTGTTTTATCGTTGGTCAATTTAAACAAAAACCGCCATCATTTCTAGGCAATCCTCATCTGCTTTACTACTTGGTGTGGCAGTAATTTTTTTTTTGCTTAATTATTTGGTTTAGCAGTGAGCTTTTAGCCTTAATTTATTAGTGTGGAATTATGAATTCTCCTTCATTCATTGGTGGCAGTCTGGCAGATCTGGCGGTATGGTTATTTTTTTGTCTATCTTTGGTGTGGCATTGTGGCAGTGTATGTGGTTCTTTGCTCAGTTTATTTGTGAAAATGGCAAAATTTTAGATTATACTACGTATTAAGAGTATATTATGTACTGCTTTTAAATGTAACAGTTTATATAAATAGAGATACAATTGTAGCATTACTAGTCTAAATATCTCACTGAATCACTGATACGGAGTAGGATTAGTCATGGACCCAGGCCGGGCCGGTTCCGGGCCGGGCTCGGCCGGGCTTTTTTTTTTTGGGAAGGAAGGCCTGGGACCAGCCCGGGTAGCCACCGGGTCCGGGCCGGGCCTCCGGTTGTCTTTTTTTTTTGCTTTCCTAACCCCCCCCCCCCTCACCCCCCCACCCCCCCCAAACCCCTCCTAATCATCAAGCCCTACCCGGGTGGAACCCCGAAAAATGAAAAAAAAAATCAATTCGACCCGGACCCAGGCCAGACCCGACCGGGCCGGTTCGCCAAATATAATGCCCGAGCCCGGACCCGCCCCCACCGGGCCTAGGCCCGACCCGGACCCGAGAACTGGGCCGGGCCGGGCGGCCCGAACCGGGTCCATGACTAAGTAGGATCATGACATGTCTTTCTCTAACAAACTAGTCAAGCTTGACTAGGATTGTTTATGATATATTGCAGCAAAAATGTCACGAGTAACAATTTATACATACTATAAACAAGAGTAAGCCTAGCAAAAATGGCATACCACCATTCAGTTGATCGGATCACCTTAATTTACAACCTCTTATATGTCTTTGTCAGGTTAGGGCTTTGGGGTTGGGGTCCACTTGGGGATTCAATCGTTGAGAGCGAATAAGACTAGCAAAAATGTTTTGTATTCGATGCCTAATTATGGTCATGACACGCATGTGCACTACTCTACAACAAATTTATTACAAGTATTGGGGGGTTAAACTTACAATACAATTTTATTACACTATTTCACAAAAATTTGACCGCATTATGAATATTGAATAATATTATTCCATGAAAGTTTCATTTTCAAACAACCAAATAGTAAACACATAATTTCTACTTTATTAAACAATATGTGAATCAAAAGATGAGTAAAATAAGGTAGAAATGAAGTATATAAATATAACATTAGTACTAATGAAGTATATAAATGAAGTAAAATAAGGTACATAATTTTAAGTTGCAAATGTTATGTGTACAAAGATACTAACATGCATTGTGCTCAAAGGAATAATTGTTAGTTTATTACGAATTATTCATTAATTTTTTCTATCAAGTAATTTAAATCTTTTAAATAAGGTAGCGCAAAAATGAAAGAGAACTATCCAAGATCATTATAGACTAATTTAATACTTTGAAAAGAGATTGAAATAAAATATAAATGTTCAGATCATAGGCAAGGGGAATATGAACATTGTAAGTTTACTCCAACAGTCAATTTTTCTTTTATGTGTATAATAACTCGCTACTACAAGTAATCAGTGATATTGACATATGTAGTAATTTTTAACCTCTTAATGTAGACTTAAATTACATATATTTAAGTCTAAAATATTGACATATAGTTGAAAATATATTTTTGAGTTTTTTTTTAATAATTGTTGACTTTTAGTTGCGGAAAAGATCTAAAAAAAATTGTGATTGTTTGGTTGTTTGATTTAGTTTGATTGTTTGATTTAGTTCTTTTTATATAATACTTCATCCGTCCCTTAAAACTTTGTCATCTTTCCATTATGAGACGTCCAAAAACTTTGTCACTTTCCCTTTTAATCAAATATTTTGTGGTTTCTATTATTTCTCTCTGTTATGCGCAAACTTCAACCACAAAGTTTTTACTTTATTATTCTTCGTGTTGGCCTGTCAACTTTGGCAAAGTTTTAAGGGACGAAGGTAGTAAGTTCGTTGTTGTGGTTAAGTAATTCTAAAAGCTATAGACTTCCTCTCGCAGGGGCGGAGCCAGGACACTGGGCCGGACTGGGCCGGTACAAAGAATATTTTTGAAAAATAAATTACACGCAATTTTTTACATTAAAAATAAAGACATTTTTAAAATTTGGGCTGGGTCAGGGCCAGGTATGGCCCACCCCTAGCTACGCCACTGTCCTCTCGGAAGCTACTCGTATAGCTTCTAAAAAAAGTAAAAATTATTGTGATAAGTATGGTATGATTATGTTTGGCACAACTACCTGAAAAGATATTTTATTAGCTAACTCTTAGTGACTGAAAATAGTAAAAGAACAAGGTAGTAGTTTTTTAATAAAAAGTTATCGGTTTAATTTTGCTATGTTTGATATACAAGCTGTTGAGACTAATTAATGCTAGAAGTTATACACTAATCTGAGATGTTTCTCGTTGTAGCATCTAAAAAGAAGATCTTTTATTTTTATAAAAGCTCTTAAAAATTGACAACAAACATACAATTAGAAGCTTTTAAGGACTTTTTAAATACTACAAAAGCAAGAAGTCTTGGACTTATATTTGTCAAACATAGAAAATATAACTAAGAGCTTTTAGAGACTTCTATTCTCTATTCATTAATACCGTTATATTAAGGCGAGAACAAATATAAATACATCAAACTTTAATGGAGTATGTATATCTCGGACTTTATATAAAAAGTTATTTTCGCACAATGATTGCATATTTTTTACAAATATGAAATTTATTGAAATAATTACTTAATTTAAAATGTTCTAAGCTTTGTTAGAATGCAGTTAATATTCTAAAATTTCATTTGTGAAATGAATAATATTAAATCCAATACAATTTAATTTTACTGGGAATGGATTGACTCGGGATTGATGAAACTGATTCGTGTGAAATCTTTTGAGTGAGAGCCGAACTATCAAAGCTTATGTAAAGCGATCATGGATGGTGTTCAAATATGATGGTTATACTCACTTTTATATTCACCCATGTTTATGAAGGTTTTTTATCTATGAGTATGGACGGAGCTAGGGATGGGTCAATCTAGGCCTTGACTCACCCCAAATTTTAAAAATACCTTAATTTTTAGTGTAAAAACTTCCGGATTA